CCGGTCGAGCCGACCCATTCCTGCTGCAACCATCATATACCTGCACCATAGCTCTACCACGTAAAAATATATCCCCGTGGAGCAGTGGAGTTTTTATAGGCATTGAATTTATAGGTGAATGAAATATTAACTAAAACGTGCCATCTTGGTTTGAATATTTTCACTTACAAAAATATTTAATTGCATTAAAAAAATAGTTAATTATGAAACATGTTTAAGTAGAAGCTTTTTACTAAATTAAAACCATGATGAAGCACCACAATTTATACAGTTTATACCCCAGTTACGTAAATGTTTTTCCTTTTTTGACTGTTCGTTGATCGACACAAATTTATTTTTCTCAAAAGAGAAAACAGTTCCTCAAATATATATTTATTAAGAACAAAAGTGAAAATTTCAATGAGTAATTTGGTAGAAATAAAAAGTGTGTGCTTGCGATTGAAGGGGAAACTTGCTCTAAAAATAAAATATATTTGGCTTTTGACTTCAGCATAAACCAGCAAAGTTAACGCTTCGAGAATGTGGAATTTTTTCCCGGCTTAAAATAAGTATTCAGCTGCGGGGCTATATAGGTTTATATTTTTGTGGTACCACGTTTAGTTTATATATTGGGTGTATTCATCATCGTCATCATTACAGCTCTTTAATGCTCTATCTGCTTCCGTAGAAAAGTCTTCTTCAAGGAATACCTAAAAATACGGTCCAGAACCACTTTCATACATTGATGTCTTACCAGGTCACCATTCCTTCTATGACGAGGCCCACCTTACACTTCACTTATTGATCCGAGATATATCATTAACCTATTGCCACTTCAGTTTGTTGATTCGTTGGGCTATGTTAATTACATAGTTTCTGATGCGGATAAACGTATTCCTAGGAACGATACTCGTACACGGCAGCCAGGCTCAACACATACTAGCCATCTGCGCAGGGCAGGATTATACTGGAAATGATCGAAATAGCTCAAGTGGATATCGAGCGGTCGCAAAATCGTATGAATGCTTACGCAAGCAAACAGGTGCACTCTCTATTCCCTCATTTCATAGTATGATGGGACGGCAGTACGATATGGGAGAGATTAGGCGCTGGACCTGGAAGCATGTTAACAAAAATGAAGAAAGAGTATTTTGATACGGATTTATCGATGAAATTAAAATTGACCAGCTATTAGAGACTCGCCGTGCTATTCGCCCTGCAAACGCTCGTTAAACGCTATGCTGAGCACCCAATGTATACTAGCTCTAAGGTAATATAAGGGCTTGTAGTAGGCTGTAGCTGTATTAAAAGTAGTAGGGTCATAGGAATTATATAACGTAAATCACATTTTGGCAGGAAATATCTTTTAAGTCAAAATGCAAATTTCTTTTTAGAGAAATATTTTTTGAAATTTAGAAAAAAAAATGATATTTTAATAGTTTTCGATGGTGAAACCGCGCTGCTGAAAGGGATATGTAAACACTTAATATGGAATTGTATAAACAAACAAAATTTTAACAATTTTGTTTAATAGAAGTTGCATTCAAAACATTTTTGTTGAATTGATAATTATTAAACTAAGAAGAAAGGTATTTTTCACAAAGCAATTTAATGCCATGAATTATTCAATTTCATTACTCTTATACTGCTTGCCTTTAAATCAAACGTGACCTTTTTTCCGTTTTCGTCCCTTCTATTTCTTTGGTTGATACGTTATTTATTCTGCCGAAATTCGAAGTAACGACTTCTTAAGTTGTCCTTTTCTTAGCTAAGTTCTTAGCTTATTTATATATTTTATACGAACGCTTGTATAATTTGCACTTATATAAAGCGTAAAGATGTACCGATTTGATAATAGCATGGTGAGACATAGATGAAATTGATGAGTGCAGGTAATCCAAAACCATGTTTTGTGGCATTATATGTGATAGATCTATGATCAGCAGTGAAATCTTGATGGGCTGTATGTTAAAAATTTGATATTCAATTGTTTGTGGAATGTAAGTACTATTTTATAATTTTTTCGAACAGTCAATTTGATGGCAAGTAGCTACTGGAGTCTTAAGACCTGTAATCAATAAGAAATAGCGAAACCTAGAAGCTCCTTGATGGACTGAGATTGAATATCTGACGGCCTGTTATCATACAACTTCTCCATATCCTTTTAAACCGAACACAATAAGTATAGAATTTGCTCAAATGTTTATTACTGTTTAGTTTCAGATATTGATATAACCCACTAAGACGGATACTTAAATAAAAAAACTAACACCTGTTAAAAAGTATACTTTTGGTTAAGCCTAAGATAATTTTGAAACATTTAAATAAAATCTTCTGAAACTACGTAAGTATATAAGGAAAAACGCTACACCACAATGTGTCCACTGGTACGCTTATGTTTTTCCTATTTTAATTAAATGTTGTTTCTTTTACGGAATTGCAGAGGAAGGCCGCATTTAAAGCTTTGAACAAGATTCGAAACTGGATCTACAACCGGATATCGGACAGTACTTGATGCCGGTTCGACCGTGAAAAATGACAGTACTGCTGCTAGCCCGGCGATGGATTGCATTGAGCCCAGTCTGTTACCTGCAATATAATTAATATATATTTTACAAACCGTGTCAAATAAACCTTATATATGTGTGTAATAAATGTTCCTCCAATTTTTGTCACGGTGCCCAGTCGGAACGGAGACTAGCCGTCTACGAAGGACAAGATTATTGTGCCGGAGTGTACGCGCAAGCACAAGTGCATTCTCTATAGTCCTCACACTTTAATCTAATAGGATGGTAATCCTACACAACTAGAAAGAGATCAGGTGCAGGAACAACAGCTTTAGGTGCTTTTAGGGCCACGGGGATGAAACAATGCTAACTCCCTTACTCCTGAGCGCACCTGAGAAAATCTTGTCAAAAACAAACTAATAATTGTATACGTGGTAGAGCCAGGTTGTAACTATATTGTAGTTATAGCACGAATGAGTCTTGACTGGTGCAAAACGACACTCTCAAATAATACCAACGTAAAATAGCAGCTTAATGCTGCTATGTTTCGTAGGATGAGATAGAGAATCAGAGATACTTCTTACCGAAACGAGGCATTCCATTTTAGTCCAAAGGTTGACGAGCCATCTGCATTTGTTTTTTAACCAAGGATAGACGTAGACATCTATGGGGCACAGCATCCACTTAGGAGGACTGTGTGCTCGTTTGTCCCCCTGATTATATTATAATTAAAAAAAAATGATTTTGGTCCGACTCGGGATTCAAACCCGGGATCTCATGATCTACAACCGCGTTTACGACCACTAGACCAAGGAGACAGTTAATGAGTATACATACGCACTAAAATTTTGTGCCTCACTTAACTTTTATAAGATAATCCAATTAATAATTTTCTCTCGTGGTTTTTGTGAAAGGCTAGATGGGCCTGTTGAAGGGTCTGAAAAACTTGTTAATTACTAATGAAGAAATTGTAAGTAAATAACCGCATGATTAGTGAAAGTAACGATGCGTAACTAAAAAAGCAATACTTCCTAGATATGCACGCATTTTGACACATCTTAACAAACTATATTTATCCATCCAAATTCATTTGGTAGTATCATAGTCATAATAGAGGAGTAGGAGGAAAGGCCAGAAAGATCTCATGGTCCCCAACCTGACTGACTAACTGATGTTATACCATCTCATGAGCGAGGCCAAGTTCTTGTACGATCCGCACGGCTGTTCTTCACAGGAAACTGTAGATTTTATTTCTACAGGTTAATATTTTATACTAATTATACAGCTTTAAATGGCCAGCCATCTCACTCACCACTCACGCAGGCACTTCAAATAAGGCTATGAATTAAATCCTAATACTTCTAATTCGCAAAAAGGCAGTGCCCTCCTCTTGGTTGCCTTATATTAGTCAACATTCTGTGCATGGTACTTGACACCTTTTCCGGCCAAGGCCTAGGCACCTGACGTTCGAATCTTTACCGAATGTCATTGATGAGGCTAAGGTATTTCATATATCACCCTACTCTCTTTGTACTACTTCTCTTTTTCTACTCTCTCTCTCAAAGGTGCCCGCACTGGCGATCATTAACGTGTTGTTGAAATAACACCAACAAAACGTTTTATACGTGATAGAACCACGCTGCAGCTATACTATGGTTGCAAACCGAGTGGGTCAATTCGTCCACGGTAGGACCACGCTCTCACAGAATACTAGCGTAAAATAATAGCTTAATACTGCTGTGTTTCGTAAGCTGAGTGTAGAGAACCGGATACCGTTTTTACTGGATGAATAAAGGCATTCCATTATAGTCCTCAGGGGTAAAAACGCATCTGCATCTTGAGGATAAATGTGGATGTCTATGGGGCACAGCGTTCACTAACAATCAGTTTGACTGTGTGCTCGATAGTCATTTAATTAAATAAACAAATTACACGCGACATTTACGCTAATAGGTAGATCAACACTCAGGACCGCACCATCACGATTCCAAGTAGAGTTAATAAACATTATAAACTGAAATAACGAATATCAGCATTGTCTGTGTTTCAAAGATTTTCATGATGCAATCTCTTAATCATGTTCCAGTTAGAGTAACTTAAGTAAAGTAACTAAAGTATTAAAAAAGCATATATATTATTATATTAGCCGTGGTAGCTCAGATGGTTAACGCTCGCTGTAAATACAACAGAACGCGAGTAACCCGGGTTCGATCCCCGCGCGCACCAATGAAATTGTTAATTACAATTTTAAGTGCTGATTTACCACTTGCTCGGCGGTGAAGGAAAACATCGTGAGGAAACCTGTATGTCTGAGGAACAAGCAAAAAAGTACTTCGAAGACATGTGAAGTTCGCCAACACGCATTGGGGCAGCGCGGCGGACACTTCCTTGCCCTAAAACCCTCTCAGAAATGAGGGGAGGTCTGTGCCCAGCAGTGGGACGTATATAGGCTGTAACTTTAATTTACTTTTTAACTTTTTAGTTACTATTTATATTATTTTAAACCTTTAGGACTCATACCAACCTACCTATGCAAGATCTTGGTCCTTCTCCAAACGGTAGAAAAATATATTTATTTTTGATTTCAAACTCCTGTGAAAGGAATCTTTCCGGGCGAAATTCTTCAGGTTTTTCAAAGTATAAAGGATCATTTTGTAAAGCTTTTACTGGTATTATAACAGCTACACCTTTATCGATTTTCAAATTTAATTCCGGAAAAGTATATTGACTTGTGCATTTCCTGCTGATAAATCCGAGAGGAGGAAACATTCTCAGACTTTCTTTCAGTGTACATTCTAGGTATGTCATTTCCTTTATAGCATCATATGTTAATTTATTATTGTGTTTTAACAGTACACGATCAATATCGTCTTGAACTTTTTGCTGAACCAACGGATTATATGCTAATTCATGTAAAGCAAAACTCGTTGCACTAGCAGATGTTTCAAATCCTGCAGCAAAAAATATGAAAGCTTGAGCTGCCATCAACTTTTCATCCATCACTTTTGTTACAACTTCTGGCGTTCCATCGGGTTTCAATTTCTCAATAGAATCGCCTATCATGGGCCCTTTTTGATTACATTCCATTAATAAATCGATAAAATCTTTTCGATCCGAAGGTGTCTGTGTTTTAATTTTTATTATATTTCTAATAAGTGAATTAAAATTTTCTTCAATGCTAGAATCAAATGTCGAAAATTTACTTGATATTTCAGGTAATAAATCTTTAAGTACAATAACAGCTAAATCTCGTAAATAAGATGTGAATATTCTTTTGCCAAGTTTTCTAAATTCAGAATTATCATTTTTAAGGGCATCAGTTTCAATATTAAATCCACTCGCACAAATGAAATCTGTTGTGAAACGAGCCATCAAATCTCGAGCATCAACAACGGATACGTAATTAATGGATTTAGAAGTTATTCTTACTTTTAACTGTTCTGTACACTTTTCTAAAAGAGGAAACATAGACTTCAGTTTGCTTGTTGTAAATGCCGCTGTGCTTCGTTGGCGTAAAAGTCTCCACAAATCACCTTCTACGAAAAATAAACTTTGCAGAAGAGTTTCAACCTTTTCATGTTGATTTAAGCCACGATTATTAAAATAAGAAAAGTCACTAGTTAAAATACATTTTACTATTTCTGGGTCCCTTATCACAAGTTCCGGGCGCCATCCACGATAAAATCCAACAACTTTCTCGTTTGGATATTTCCAGTACACATTTTCAGCCTGTTGAGTTATGTTCTGCTGTAGCAAATAATTTTTCAAATTTGTTCCAACTAAAAATATTGGCTTATCATGCTTTATATTTCGCACTTCCCAGTAATTAAATGTTCTTCGACCATATAAATAAATTGCCAAAATTAGAGCTACAATAATTAAAATCATGATGATTACGATATCCAAAACAACAATATGCATTTAGTAATGTAAACGTTGAGTTATAAAGACATTTCGATATCAAAAAATGCATATTATTCCGTGTGATAAGATATTAAAAAAATTATTTCGTTTTTCATACTATTTGTTACATATAATAAAAATATAAATTGCATGTGTCTTTACACCGTATATGCTTGTGAAAAAATGATTAAGGGGACTAAATATGTGAATTAAGTGCATTGATATTATTTTTAGAAATTTCGGCTTGTATGTGAAGACATCACGTCTCGAATAGGTACTACCTTTATGAAAAATCTTAATAATTAGAAAATTAATATTGAAAATCTGAAAGTAGCCCGGTCTAACTAAGTTCGGTATACTGTTTTAATATGTGACAGTTAGTACACTACATGTCAAGTAAAGTTGATGTGTAGGAAACATGAAAGGACGGAAAGTAGCTACCTTTATAGCTGCTCTCTGTGCACGTTCTAATGGGATGATTATTGTTTTAAAAGCACCACCCAGGAAGTAATACCATAAGTAAGTATGGATTGACACAAAGTTAAATAGCCTGTCTTATCAATTTAAAGTCAGCTATGTTACGGAGATATTTAAAAATATATATTAATTTATGAACTCTGGCACGAAGTAAATCGATGTGCTTGCGGAAATTTAAATTTGTGTCAAGAGTGATACCTAGATATTTTATATTGTCTGTTTTTGTTAATGCAGGGCATGCACATGCAGTGTCAACATACGAGTCACTGTTATGAGCGTAAATATTTAGGTGAATAGGTATGTTATTGTTTCTAATTAAAAATAACATATATTGTGCTTTTTCTGCGTTTTAATTCATAAGATTTTAAGAAGCCAATAATACTATATCAAACCTTCTAGCTATGTATAACATCATCTCGTGATTTAGCTGAGAACAACAGGGCTGTGTCATCCGCATATGACATTATGACACCATTTTGAAATTAGAGATTGCATAAGTCATTTATATAAATTAGGAAAAATGTAGCACCCAGGATACTACTGCCCTGTAGGATGCCGTAAGAGCTGTTTTGTAATTCTGTACTTGTATACTCACCGATTTTAACACATTGAGAGCGATCACTAGGTAGTAATCGGTAAAAAGTTGCAGTTGAATTCCCCTTATGCCAAGTGTTTCAAGCTCTTGCAATATTATAGGGCAAGAGATAGTATCAAATACTTTGCCAAAGTCTAAAACGATCCCAAATGAGTGCGTAGGTACCATTGTCAAGATTACTAGTGACATAATCTGTCAATTGGTGCAAAGCATCATTACAAGATCTCTTAGGCCTAAAACCAAATTGTCTGTCTGACAGCAAATTGTTAGTTTCCAGGTATTTTATTAACCTATGATTTATGATTTTTTCTAATATTTTAGATAAACCAGATAAAACTGAAATCAGCCTATAGTTACTAAGTTTTTATCGCCAGCTTCGTATATAGGAGAAACCACAGCTTTTTTAAGCACTTTCGGGAAAATACCTTTAGATAGGGATAACTGAAAGATATGTGTTAACGGAGCAGCTAGTAAATGTTTAAATCTTTTGAGTATACTATTAGGTATACTGTTCCATCCGACTGCACAATCTTCTTTTAAGCCAGTTATTATACTGAAAATATCCTCAATTTCGGTATTTAACAATACGAAAGAATTTAATTTAGAAAAGGATGTGGGTATAAAAACTGGATTTCAAGTGCTGCTTAGTTTCAAAGTTTTATCTGCTATTTTTTTCCAACATTAATAAAAAATTATTTACTTTTTTAGTCGCTTTTGTCTAATGATAGTAGCTCAAGTGGGGTCCAAGGGTTTTTGAACTGAAGGTATTATTTTTAATGAACTTCTATACAAGTTTACTGTTTTTACCGGCCTTTTGTAAAACAATTTTATCACATTTTATTATTATATGATATGGAAATGGGAATAGTGAGAAATCCTGCATATCTCAGAAATTAAAAAATATCGAGGACATGAAGACAACCGAACTGAGCTTTGATTTTGATTCTTAATCGATGGTAGATGTACAAGTAAACTATGTGCTCATTTGTTTTACACCAACCCTTATTCTACATAAAAAAATGGGTCTAATAAATGTTGTAACTTCATCTACGGCTAATTTTCACATCTCATATAGCGACAATAAATCGAAAATTGTGGAGTAAGCATTCTATTAATATGATGATTTAAGTCTATTCGACAAAAATAAAATTCATTAAACGTTCGTTCCTTTTAAAAAAAAACATTAAAAACTGTAAAAATGTGTGTCTGTCTGTTTTTGAGACAATTCAGGGAATATAAATACATATTAATAAAGTACGTCATTGTAACAATTATCTAATATATCGTAACAATACAAATAAGAAGTGATCGATGAATTATGATAAGTGATTAAAGATTATTGTTGTTTCATTTTAATAACGGAAAGGTAGCCATAGTCGATCAGGAAATAAGTGCCTAAATAGTATGCGAGACAACCGAGTGTTATGCTCGCCGGAACCTGGTGCTTGGTGGTAAAGGAAAACATAGCGACGAAATGCATCCTTTAGCTCTACATCACAACCTTTCTAACTTAGTTCGAGAAATATATTTTACTTATAAAATATAAAGTTAAGAAAGTATAAAGTGAAAAGACACGTATAGAGAAAAAAAGCTTGATTCACCTTTTGTATAGCAGCTTTCAAATCGATAAGAATGATAAATACCTATTAGTGGCCTTAAACCTTATAAATATTGCTCCATTCATTTCTGCGAAGGTTTTAGAAACGAGAATAGTCCGCTGCGTTGTCTTCACGTATTCTATAATTTTTAATTATTTCAAATACGCAGGTTTCCTCGTGATATTTTCCTTCACCGACGAGCACGCGATAAATCAGTAGTTCCAATTGCTATTTACAACTTCGTTGGTGCCGGAAATTTAATCGGGGTTGCTTGCGTAGTGTAACATTTACAGTGAAATCTTGCTCTTGAGCCACCTTGGTTTTTTGAGTGCTTATTTACGTGTAAGCATGAAAACATAAAATTTTCGGTAATACTTTGCCCTATAAACATATATCTATGATAATTTGTTCATTTATTTATGTTATGTAATATTTAAAATTTGAGAACCTTTTGATGATGGTAAGTGCCTAGGAATTAAATGAATAACTAGATTAGCATATGCTACATTACGATAAACTTATTTCTTGTCGTTCTAGGTTTGTTGGTAGAGTAAAAAGTACATACATCATTTAAATTTTAATATAATTTTTTACATTTTTAATAATTAGCATTTTATGACGACTGATTTAGTGAACTATTTTAAACTACTGCATTCATGTAATACTTGCCATTTAGTGTTCGTGGAAAGACACAACCGCCGTTCAAAATCCATCTTAATATTATTTATTTATTTAAGCCTTATTATACACCTTATAATAAGGGATACAAAGGGCGGACTTATGATTAATTATGGCACTACTTATTGCATTCTCTGCTAGTCAACCTTAGATGATTTGAGATACAATGACTGGAGCAAACAATCACTTCATATATCTAATAAATAAGTTATAAAGATATAAGATACAATAAAATACAAATAAAGAGAATATAGTTAGTTAAAAATGTTTATACTTAGTTAATATCTACTATATAATACAGAATAAATATTAAACGTAAAAACGAGTACTTCTATACAAAATCTATTAATAAATAAAAGAATGTACTTAATAGAAAAATAATATAAAACAACACATATGAAAATACAATATATAAGATAAATCAAAATAAAAGAGAGAAAAAACAATAGTTGATTAAGTCAGGGTCTTGTGATAGAAATTTCGAAATAATTTTTTACTCGTTTTTTTTAGTTCCTAGTTTTCTTGATATCAGCAGGCAAAGCGTTCCAGTTCTGTGTGGAATGCAAAGTAACAGAGAAATGAAAGAAAACACTCCTAAAGGGGGAATACGAATTTGAAGACTATTTTGAGAACAGGGAATCCTATCGTAAGAAGAATACAGATACTGAAGGTTATCTTTAAACAATTTAAAATTGAATATAGTACTTACAAAGTTTGAGAGCTTGGTCTTAGATGAAAATAAAGCAATTTAAGCTTAGATCGGTACTGGGAGACATGGTCAACTTGCGTAAGCCAAAATGAACCTAATGCAATTGTTGAGAAGGCACTCCAACGTATCGAGAAGATATTGAAATAGATCTGGGTAACACACACCCTTATAATCAATAATGGATAAAAATCTGAATTAGTAGAAGTTTAGTTTTAAAAGGCGGAAAGTTTTTCAGACGGCAAAGAGGACGTACGGTGGCAGTAACTTTACGGCTTATTTCGGCAACTTGAACTCCCCAGCTTAAGGCGGTACCCTGACCAAAACCTGGCAAAAGTGCGTTTTTCAGAGACTATTATCTCATTAGTTATGAGAAATAAGCTACATCTAAAAGCACATTATTAATGTTCGATATCCTATCATCATCTAATTTGTTTTTATGTGTTATGAATACATTTAAAATCTACTTTTAAAAAATGACTAAAATTATTGATTACATGCATCTGTTGCTAAAGGAAATGCTCTAATCATTTGAGAATTACACTATTGGATAGTTAATTTAAAAATCTATATTCTACACGTTTTATTTAATTTCTTAAGTTCGCTTATCTCTTTTAATTGAAATAATTCCAAATATTCGGGCGTATTTTTCCGTGATATATTGTAGCGAGAGCGCGTGGATTGTATGGGACCGAACGCTCAAGGTCTCTCGCTAGGGGAACCGTCTTAAGGTATGGTCTATATGTGCCTCAGCCAATATTTTTGAAAGAATTACAAAATTGCAGCAACGCTCTGTTATAAAATACAGGAGAAAGACTATCATTACTAATCCTAGCTAAGAACCTGCTACTGCCTATAATCATTGCTTTACATTTGAATGGGTTATCCGAAACAAGGTTACGATTGAGTTGATTAATATTATCGTCAAGAC